TGATGCTGAACCTCAAGCTTCTAGAAAAAGAAGAGCAGGACAACCTCAAAGCTCATACAAGGGAGGAAATTATAAAGATCAGAACAGAAATCAATGCAATGGAGAATAAGAGAACAATACAAAAAATCAATGAAGCCAAGAGTTGGTTCTTCGAATGAATCAACAAAATTGACAAACCCTTAGCCAATCTTATCAGGAAAAGGAAAGAAAAGGTCCAAATCCATGCAATTAGGAATGAAAAGGATGAAATTACAACAGACCCAGCAGAAATCCAGAGGATCATAAATACCTACTTCCAGAACCTATATGCCAATAAGATGGAAAACACAGAAGAAATGGACAGATTCCTAGATATGTATGAATTACTAAAGTTGAATGAAGAAGACCTATCAAACAATGAAATTGCAAATGTAATTGAAAACTTACCAATTAAGTAAAGACCTGGTCCTTATGGCTTCTCTGCTGAAATCTACAAGATATTTAGAGAGGAACTACTGCCACTACTATTTAAACTCTTTAATGATATTGAAAGAGAAACAATACTCCTGAATTCATTCCTGGAAGCAAGCATCACCTTGATCCCCAAAGCAGAGGAAGACCTAACAGAAAAAGAGAACTGTAGGCCAATCTCACTAATGAACATAGATGCAAAAATGCTTAATAAGATACTGGCAAATAGAATGCAGAAGATCATCAAGAAGATCATATACCCTGACCAAGTGGGATTCATCCCAGGGATACAGGGATGGTTCAACATATGCAAATCAATCAGTGTAATACACTATATCAATAGAGCCAAGAACAAAAAGCATATGATCATTTCAATAGATGCAGAAAAAGCGTTCGACAAAATCCAATATGCACTTATGACACAAATACTATAAAAAATTGGAATAGATCATCTCTGCCTCAAGTCTAATAAAGGCCAACTATGAAAAACCAACAGCCAGTGTCATACTAAATGGTCAAAAACTGAAAGCCTTCACACTAAAATCAGGAACAAGACAAGGATGTCCTCTATCCCCACTTCTGTTCAGTATAGTTTTGGAACTATTAGCCACAGTAATTAGACAAGAGAAAGAAATAAAAGGAATAAAAATAGGAAATGAAGAAGTCAAATTGTCATTATTTGCAGATAACATGATACTCTATATAGAAGACCCCAAAAACTCCACCAAACGTCTTCTAGACTTAATAACCAAATTCAGTAATGTAGCTGGATATAAGGTCAACCCACAAAAATCAATAGCTTTTCTGTACACAAACAACAGACTCACTGAGAAAGAAATAGCGAAAACAATTCCTTTTACAATAGCATCCAAAAAA